GGGGGGATACAAATGGCAAAGTATGACACATATGTAAGGGGAAAATGTAACCAATAGAAGTTATCTTGAGTTTTCTCAAATGCTGAATTTAGCAGACTAAATTAAAATCAGTTATTCTAGAAAGTTTAAAACCAAGAGAAAATTATGTTCAAAGAATTAAAGGAAGAGGAACAATGAATTAAGAAATGAAAATTGCCTTTTAAGATGCAAAAAAATTATAAGAAATATATCCAAGTGAAAATTCTTTAATTCAAAAGTTTGAACTAAAAGGAAAAATAGTGTAAGAGGTTTAGTCAGAACCATCAAGATAGCAGAAGAAAAAAACTGAAACTTAAATATGATCAGTAAGAGTCACCAATCTGAGGGGCAGAGAGAAAGATAAGCCCTCAGACACTTAACCAAATTTCATACCATAGGAATCCCAGAGAGACCAGATAGAGATAGGAAGAAACAAACCAACAGACCTGAAGACACAGTAGAATAAAATTTCCCACATTTGTAATGACTCAATCTAATCCAGTGACCCAAGAAGCTCAATGGGCTGTAAGTGGGATAAACATGAAGACATTCATACTTACAGCTGGCATGGTGGCACTCACCTTTAACCCCAGCACTCTGGAGGTGGTGGATCTTTGGGAGTTTGAGGCTAGGCTGGTCTACACAGTGAGTTCCAGGAGCCAGGGCTACAGTGAGATCTTGTCGTAGAAGAGGAGATGGAAGAGGAGGAAGCAGAGGAGGAGGAGAAGGAGGAAAGAAATTCACTGATAAACAGAGAAAATGTTAAAAGAAGCAAAAGAAAAGTAACTCATCACAAAGAAAAGGCTTCCACAAAATTAGCAGTCCACCTGTCACCCAATGGTGAGCAAGACAGAGTGAAACAACATGCCAATAAGATACAAACCAGAGTGAACTAGTAATTTTACATTCAACAGAACATTCTTCAAATATTTAGGGGAAAGCCCTCAAACATAATTCTCAAAAGAATTAAAGAGATGAGACTGGTTCCCCTGAAAGTTTATTTAACATACAGAGAAAGAATCTGAAGAAGAACAAGAAAAAAATAGCAAAATGGCAACCACAAATACAACTACAAAATAGTGTGTGTGGGGGGGGGTGTCTAAGGAACAAGGTAAAAAGACAGAAATTACCAGGTTGGATTTAAAAGGCAAGAATTAATTATATGATGCCTATCCAGAAACACCTCTTAGATTCCAAGTCCCAGATATGATGAGAGCCACAGGATGGAGAAAGACACAGTAAGCAGTCTATATCCAGAAAGGAACTGGAGTGGTGACATGAATATGAGGTAACACAGACTTTAGAGCTAGAGACACTGTGAGAGACAAGCAGATCCCACGAAGATAAAAGGATCAATAGAACCCACAGACTCTTAAGGTACAAAGTGACAGAGCTGAAAGGAGAGACTGGAAATGCCACAGTGATGGAGATTCCAGTGTTCCACTCTCAATAACTGATCAAGTTACTAGACAGTAAAAGTCGAGGAATCAACAGACTTGAATGGCTCTACCAACCAGCTTCACATAGTACACCCAGTGTGTGTGTGTGTGTGTGTGTGTGTGTGTGTGCGTGTGTGTGTGTGTGTGTGTGGTGGTGGTGGT